CAGGGGGACTATCTCACTTTCGAGGAAATCATTGGGCGGTGCCAATCGTTCCTCGGAGTGCGCAGGCTTGGCACCGAGGCGTGCCTGGGCGAGTCGGGCCCCCCAGGGAAGACGGAGGGGGGGGACGTCCAGGCGACGGCGCGGAAGGGGCGGAGGGCGCGAAAGGGGAGGAGACGGGGCGGCCCCCCGAGGCCGAGCACGAGATCACCGCTTCGATCAAGCGTCTCATTCACAAGGTTCACGAGAACCTCGGGCACCTCGAAAGGACATCTTTCTCAAGGTCCTTAGGGCCGCGCATGCTCGCCCGGCGATTGTCCGCTTTGTTCGGGATTCGTGCGAGTGCGCTAGGCCCAGGTCCAGCAGGCTGGACATCGGGCCGCGGCGGTTCCCCGGGCGCTGCAGTTCAATGAGGTGATTGCGGTGGATGCCTCCTATGTGCCGTTCGAGGGGGAATTCATTCCTGTTCTGAACTGCGTGCGTCACGGCGGGTTGGCCCCCCGGAAATGTTATTTTCGAATGGCGGACCGGAGTTCAAGGCGCATTTGGAGCGCGGTTTGGAGCATCCCGGGGTCTTCCACCACATGGTGGGCTCGGAGAGCCCCTGGGAAAACGGCCCGGCTGAAAGACACGGCGCGCGGGTAAAAGACACCCTCGTTCGGGCGTCCGAAAGTTCAGTCGTCACCGCCAGGGGGGAACTAGAGACTCTTCTGCACGAGGTGGTGTCTGCTAGGAACAGATGCTTCCACCGAGGTGGCTGCAGTCCGCTTCAGCTTGTGCACGGCGTCAACCCGCGCCTCCCCAGCGACCTTCTCTCGGACGACGGAATTCGACAGGTCGGGAGAGGAGGCCTGGTTCAGACGTCTTGGGACCAGGACACGGCCGCGGCCGATTGCGCCCGGCGGCATGCCAGTCGGGATCTGGCGCGACAGCTCTTCCGGGCGGCGAGCTAGCGGAAGTTGGAGAAGCATCTAGGGCCAGCTTCCATCGTGACGCTCGGGTCCACCCTGGCCAGCGGGTCTTTGCGCGGAGACGAGCTCCCGCCCAAAGCAGCCAGATAACCTATGCTCTTCAGCGAGACCGATGGGTTGGTCCCGGGTCGGTGTTGCTCCAGTCTGGGAACGCCGTTTGGATGGCTATGAGAAGTCGGCTCTGGAAGCGCCCGGAAGAGCAGGTTCGTCTCGCCGTCGCCTCAGAGTCGAGAGGAGCGGACGTCATGTGTGATCCGGTGGTTCAGCGTCTACTTCGGGGCGCTCAGGTGGGGCGTGCCAGGCGGGGGTCAACGCGTCAGCGGAAGGTCCTCCCACCTGGGAGGTCTGTGAACCAGGACATCTATGTGCTGCGGTCGATCCGGCCCCCGCAACCCACGCACTTGCCCCCCGTGCCACCTCGGGTCGACGGGGCCAAGCGGCACTGTTCAGAGGCCTTTGGAGGATCCTCGCCAACCCCTCTCCGCCATCCCTGAAGAGCGGAGCGTGGCGAGGGGGCTCGGCCAGGTGCCGGGCCGGTTCACCCCCCCCCCCACGCTCGGTCGGTCGTCCGCGGTCGTTCGGTCTCGTCAGACGTCCGAATTGGACGAGGAAGTCCATCGTCCTCATGCCTACCGTTGTTTGGACGACGGGCCCGAGCCCGTCGAGTCAGGGGTCGAGAGCTCAGGGCCACCCTTTATTCCCTCGGGGTTCTCTCCGCCAGGACTGCCGGCCGCGTCGAGCGCCGACTCCGCGGCCGCCCAGGCGTCGGGATCTGTTGCTTCAGTGCCCGCGTCCTCCTCGAGTGCCGGACAGGTCCCAGACGCTCGGTCGTCGACCAGGACGCCCCATGGCCCGAGGTTTATAGGTGGGACTGTCTTGCGGAATGACATTCTGGACTTAGGCATGAAGAGCCAGTCAGCGGCCCAACCGACTGGGGGGGGATTTTCGAGGGCGCCCCCCCGGAAGGGTCCAGGAGCGGATCAGACAGATCGAGGACGGACATCTGGTTCGTCGACGGCGATCGATATCGCCGCCGTTGAAGTGGGGGGCGGCTGGCGAGGCCCAGCCTATGGAGGGGATGGCTTCCTCCGCCGAGCTTGCCCTCCAGGGCGAGGAACTCTGGGCGCTCCCGGGGCTCGAGGATAGCTCTCTCTGCGCGTTTTTCGGAGAGCTGAAGGAGAGCGTAGAGAACGAAGGGTGGATCGGGAACTGTGTGACCTATCGCAATGAAAATGCGGACGTCGAAATCGGCCGCCAGGAATGCGGGCCCTCTTCCCAGGTGCCCCTCTCTCTCTCTCTCTCTCTCTCTCTCTCTCTCTCTCTCTCTCTCTCTCTCTCTCTCTCTCTCTCTCTCCTGGCCAGCCGAGGGGGCGAGGTCCTTTCGAAGGATCTTGACGCTCAGGAGAGGCGAGAGCGTGGCGCTGCCGATCTCCAGGAATGGGAGGGCATCGCGAACGCGAAATCCGTCGCGGTTCACCCTCCAGATGAGGGCAAAAAGTTGCGACCCCATTCCCCAATCGGAATGTTTCGAGCTGGATGGTTCGCCGCTGGAAGCCTCGTGGCAGCGCAGGGGCCCGGCCGAAAGCCAAGTCTCGGTGGTGCGTTAGAGGACATCAGGACGAGGATGCTGCTGAGCTCCAGGTCAACGATCCGACCCCCTCGATGGAATAGCTGATGCTATTTTTGGCCAGATCGCCTTTGCGACCTGGAGGTCTACATTGGAGACATCAAGAATGCTCTCTGCCAGTCTGACCCCCTCAAGGCCACGAGGGAGAATTGTCGTCGAACCGCGCGAGGGGCTCGACCTCCCAGCAGGTGCCCTGGTCGAGCTTGTTGCTCCCGTTTATTGGCTCGACGACGCGCCTCTGGCTTTTCACGAAACGTCTGCCGAGGGCCAGGGGTGCGTCAGAACGAAGCTGGAACCACGCTGGTTCGCTCAGCGTTGGGGCGATCGCCTGATCTCGCAGGCACCACTGGAGGCTGACAATTGGGCGGTAGCCTTTTCCCCCCGGACAAAGGGCATGTATGTGCCAGAGTTTCGCGGGCGATTCAAGTTTGGCAAGGTGGGGAAACTCGATGGAAAGGGGGTTGAGTACATTGGGCGTGGGCTTCGTAGCTCGGGACAGGGGGGCCCCCAACCAAAGGATTCTCGTGGACCAGGATAAATACACCATGAAACAGTGCACAAGTTCCCCATGTCTCGGGAAGGCTGGGGGGCCACAGCAGTCTTCTTGGCGGTTCCGAGGTGGCCGAGTTTCGCAGTCTCGTGTATAAATTCAACTGGGTGGGTCGAGAGTCCCGGGCCGAGGCCACTGGGGTGGCCTCCATGTTAGCCACGACGGTGAGCTCCCCAAGTATCGAAGATCTTTCGGAGGCTCACAAGATGGTAGATCACTTGCGCTCAACGGCCGCCCTGCCGCTGATCACCCAGTGCTGTGACCCCGAGCGTTTCATCTTTGCCGCCGCCGGCGACTGCGACGGCGTGGGCCCGACGACTGCCAGTGCCCCTAGCAGGCCTAGCAGGTGCACGTGGCCGACAACTCGCTGGCGCACGGCCATCGCGCCCGCGTCTCCGCCTCAGCTTGGCGATCTTGCCGGGCCCTGGCCAAGCGCAGTGGCTCCATCTCATGTTTGAAGATGTGACTCGTGGCAATGTGGTCACCGATTCCTAGCAGGGGAAGGTCGGCCCATTTGCCGCCCTGCTGCGCCAGGGCTGCGAGCTCCCCCCCCCCCTCCACCGAGTGTGTCAGCGTCGTAGACGCCACGGGAATCTAAGATATTCTCAGCAAGTTGTCTAACGGTTCCCGTTCGGATCGGAGGGCCGCGATCGATTTGGCCGTCGTTCGAGACAAGATGTCTAAAGTCGGTAGCGTGATCCGATGGATGCCCCACCCCCTCCTCCCGGTCGACTGCATGATTAAGTCCGACATGTTTAAGACGAGCGCGGCTGAGTTCGAGTTGCTTCGGCCCGGGTGTCTTCGGCTCTCTTCGGCGGGTGGGGCCCTGGAGCGTCGCAAAGAGGACCCCCGCAAGAAAAGGCGTTCATGGGCCGAGTCTCAGAGGCAACTTCAGCAGCAGGGGGTGTGGCCGACCAGCCGACCACAGGCCGTCTCAATGCCGAGTAGACTTCTACGACAGGCGAGACAGGTGCCTGGCAGTTTTGAGTGCGCGGCGTTGGCCGTGCACATCGAGGCCGAGTGCCTGCTCGCGACGGCAGCAGCAGGAACAGTACGGCGAGGTTTCAACGAGCCCGGCTCGATCCCTCCCGTCACCTCTCTGAGGTGCACTTATACGTGTTTTTTTTATATATGTATATCTGCCCGTGGCGCAGCACCTCTTAAGCTCACTGTTTTTCGGGGCGCTGCGAGATTTGAGTCTCGAGGCGAATAGGTCGGATAAAATGTCCCATCCGTATGCGAGACTCCCTGAGTTTAAGTGTTTCATGAGAGGTGTGCTGTCCAGGGGGAGGGGTCCTACCATTCTGGCCAGTCTCTCCCCTCTCCGTTCCCTTTTCAGAATGGCTCGTTTACCGAGCCAGCGCATCTGGACCTAGTGCCTGCGGTGCTGGCGGGTGAAGTGGGTACCGGACATCCTCATCCTCATCGCTGTCGTCGGCCGGGTGACAGTATCGTCGATTCAGGCTCGAAGCTTCCTCCCTCTGAGCTGGTCTCCCTTCCCCCAGCGTGGCACCTCATAGCGGCTTAGCGACTCGCGGAAGTCACCACGTAAGATCGCTATGCCATCGTGCGTAAAGATGCGCGATGCAGAGAATGAGGAGGGAGAAGAAGGAGGAGGAAAAGGATGAGGATGAGGAGATGGAGGAGGAGAAGGAGGAGGAGGAAGTGGAGGAGGAGGCGGAGGAGGAGGAGGAGAGGAGGGAGAAAGAGGAGGAGGAGAGGAGGGGGAAGGGGGAGAGAGGAGGGGTAGCTTCGAGGAGGCTCGAGGAGGAGGAGGAGAAGGAGGAGGAGAAGGAGGAGGAGAAAGAGGAGGAGAAAGAGCCGAGGGAGGATCGTCGTCGTCGTCGTCGCCCAGGTGAGGATCGCGGACTTTGGCCTGGCCCGCGCGGTCGGGCGCCCCCCCGCCCGCCTCCCCGACCCGGACCCGGCCCGGCCCCGGGCGTGCCCCGCGGAGCAGACGGCCGGCTTCACCGTCCACGTGTGCACGCGGTGGCACTGGCGATCCTCTCAGGGTCTTTCCTCCTCTTCGAAGCTTCTCCTCCTCCTCCTCCTCCTCCTCCTCCTCCTCTTTTCCTCCTCCCTCCTTTTCCTCCTCTTCTCCTCCTCCCCCTCTCCTCCTACGCCTCCTCCTCCTCCTCGTCCTGCTCCTCCTCCCCCTCCTCCTCCTCCTCCTCCTCCTCCTCCTCCTCCTCCTCGTCCTGGACGTGCTGGTGGCGTTGCTGGAAGCGTGCTGGTGGCGTTGCACGGCCGCCTGACGGACACGGTGTCGTCGTCGGCGGCGGTGCGGCACTTCCGCTTGCGGGTGTGTTAGGACAAGCCCAGGACACGGGCGGTTCAGCTGGACCATCAGGAGGCCGCGGGGGGCCTTTGCGGTGGCATTGGCGGCGGCGGGGGGGGGGGGGACGCGTGTAATGGGGGCGGCGCCCCCAGGCGGTTTTGTGCGGGAGGTGCAGGCGTGGCTCGGGCGCTGAGGCGGCCAGCGGCGGAAGGTGGCATCCATATTCCAGGTGAGCTGTTCGACGTGCTGTCGACGGAACGCCGACTACATATCCAGGGTGAGTTGTCGCCTCACAGTCATGGTCATGGCGATCGGCCCGATCTGAGGCCGCTTCCGAATCCTGCCCCCATGTGCGCATATGTAGCCCGCGCGCTTCGCATCAACAACGCCGCCTCGAAAACGTGGTCGCGTCTGTTCCGCGGCCAGCAGTTCACTCCTCCTCCTCCTCCTCCTCCTCCTCCTCCTCCTCCTCATCGTTCCTCCTCTTCCTGACCTTTTCTGGAAGCGTTCTGCTGGAACATGCCTTCTGGGCCATCATGTCCTCGCCTGTTTCTCCCTGACCGTGCTTGAGCCTTCCCTCTCGGGCGGGCGGTTGCGGCCAGCCCCTCAGCCGAAGGCGGGGGCGGCTCGTTCTTCCGCGCTATTTACGGCGCCTGCCCGACCGTCGGTGGGCAGCGGGCGTTCATTGCCGGAGTGCGCGTCGGGCCCCGATGTCGGGGCTTAAGAGACGGGGGTCAGTGCAAACGGGGGTCAGCCAGGGCGCCGGATCCTGCAGGATCCTGCGAAGACCCCTTTTGGTTGACCCGGGTTAGCGAGCCGCTCGTGGCCGCGGGGCGGCCGCGCCTGTTGGCTGACCCGGGTTTGCGAAGACCTGCGTTGCAGTTTTTCTTTCCTGCATTGCAGTTTTTTGGTTTCGTGCTGACCTGGGTTTGGATTGACCCGGGTCAGAAGATCCCCGACGATGAGCGGCGCGCTCAGCCGCCGCGACAGCGCCGCGGGCTTGTCAGGAGCTCAGCGGGTTCGACTTGCGGACCCCATGATGCCGTGCCGTGTCCCCTCGTCCATGTGTGCACGAGGCTTCGGTAGCAAATCGAGGGGTCGAGGGTGGATCAGACAGGCCAGGGCTGGTCAGGGCTGGTGGTTGTTCGCGCGCTTGCTCCAAGGGCGGGCAATCGGTGCGGCCCGTAACGGAGTGGTCGGCGAGATTGGTCAGTGAATATGTTTGCGCTTTCTCAGGAGGATTCTCTCTGAGCAGCCAATGCCATCACCAGCAATGGACAGCCGCAGAAGCCAGCAATCCAGAGCGCGCCGTTCACTGGCCACACCGTTTAGCCGGCCTCGGTTGCTGGTTCTCGGGGGGAAGGCTCAGGCAGGCCTTGGTTCGGGGTAAGTCGTTCCAGACCGCTCTGGAACGTTCTCAGAGCGTTCCAGAAGGCTCTAGAACGGCCGCGGCGCTGGATACATCCTCCAGCACGGCTGGATTTCAGAGATCCCCGATTGGGTCGGTCGAGGACGGAGGGTTCGAACGGGGATCGAGGGTGACAGGCTCGAGGGATCGATGGGTTCGCGGGGGCGAGGGGTCGAGGGATCGAGGTGTGGAGGGATGGGAAGGTCGAGGGATCGAGGGATGGAGGTATGCCTGTCCGATTTTGCCCCGATCCTGGTTTCGTTTCACGCAGTAGCACCGGCCGTTTCTTATTTTCTTCCCTCTTCCTCCTCCTGCCCCTCCCCCTCGCTGACGTTCGGCAAACATGAGGCGGGGCCAGTTGCGTTAAGCCCCTCCTCCTCCTCCTCCTTTCCTCCTCCTCCTCCTCATCATCATCATCATCCTCATCATCCTCATCATCCTCATCATCCTCATCATCCTCTTCCTCTTCCTCATCCTCATAATCCTCATCCTCTTCCTCTTCCTCTTCCTCCTCCTCTTCCTCTTCCTCCTCCTCCTCCTCCTCCTCCTCCTCTTCCTCCTCCTCCTCTTCCTCTTCCTCCTCCCCTCCTCCTCCTCCTCCTCCTCCTCCTCCTCTCTTTTGTCGCATGTTATGCACGAGTTTCATGGGAGCCCGGTATGTCCTCGAAATTCCGTGTGTACAGCGCATTAACGTCGAATAGCATCGGGTGAGCGTCAGGTAATCGATGGGATACCACCGATTCAGCGTCGATTAGCCTCGACCTAGCGTCGATTAGCGTCGACTCGAAAGAGCCAACAAGATGGTATGGGATGTTCCAAGGAGTTGCCACACAAAAGTCTCGAATACGGAAACAATCATAAACCGGCTACACGTAGGAGTGACCCTTCGCTTGAGAGACTTTTGGCGCGGGTACACACGGGTCCCCCTTGCACTCCTGCGCGCTTGGATTTGGTCTACCCGCTGCCCCCGAAAGCCGCGCACCAAACGTCACTCTTGCCTAAGGTCATCCTAGCGTGTCGTCGAACAAGCATACACTTGCGTCGCTCCGCGCGGATTTCTTGGATCGGTGCTGCGCCCCTCTGGCGGCGCGTCCGGCCCCGACCCGGGAGCGCTCCGCGCGCCAGGGATGAGGGTCCCAGCGCAGATCCAAGAAATTCGCACGGACCTCTAACAGTTTATGTTTGTGCTGCTTCTTCTTTCAGGCGACGATTCGATGCGGCCCGATGTTTGCCTGGCGCTGCGGCGCATCCTGGCGCAGTCGATCTGATTCGATTTCGATGCCGTGCCGATGCAGCCTGATCCGATGCATATGTCGATTCGAGCCCATTTACCGATTCGATGCTGAGTGATCCTGACGAGGTGGTACCGGCCACCGGAGCTGCTGCTGGCCCAGCGGGAGTATTCGGGCGCGATTGACGTGTGGGCGCTGGGCTGCATCTTCGCAGAGCTGCTGCAGTGTGTGGAGACGCCGCCCGAGGCCCGCCAGGGGCCCCTCTTCCGGGGAGACTACGCGCGGCGCGTGGGAGGCGGCCACCTCGTCTGGCCCCCCGAGGCGCCCCGCGCCCCGCGCGGCCAGCCGGGTACGATGGCTTCGATTCGATGTTTCGACCGATTTCCATCCCGATATCGATTGATCTTCGGCTTCGGATTCCGATGCTTTATGGAGGTCTGAAGCTGTTGGCTGCCGATCTCCGTCGATTCTCCACCTCTCTCCCGACTCTTGGCGGCAGATTTTGCCGCCGAGCCGCTCGTTTCGATCGCCGATCCGACTTGTCGGTTCGATGCTGGGCTCGCCTAGACGTGACGACAACGACGATGACGGCGACGACGGCCACGGCCACGGCCACGGCCACGGCCACGGCGACGGCGGCGGCGGCGGCGGCGGCGACGACGACGACGACTCGTCGATCCGATGCTGGGCGGCTCGCCTGGTCATAGAGGCGCCACGCGCCCCGCGCGACCAGCTGGACATGATCTTCAACATGATCGGCGTGCCCTCCGTGGCGGAGCTCAGTATCGTTCCGCCGATCCCTATCCCCATCCCTCGGGGAACAACCAATGATATAAACTTAAATGCTCGGAGGTACGCGCAGATTGCCCACATCGGCATTGGGCCCGGATCCCTGGCGCGCGGAGTGCGCCTGGCGCGGCGCCAGTGGCGCCGCCAGGGGGGGGGGCCCGCGCCGATCTGAGGAATCCGCGCGGACCTCTGAGTTGTTATGTTTATGTCATTGCTGGTTTCCCGAATCCCCATCCCCGTCCCGATCCCCACCATTCCACCACCCGAGTTGGGGATACGCCGCTCGAAACCTGAAGGGAACAGTCTATATCCCACTTGGGTGGCTAAATCGGCCATTGGGGCCCAGGCCACGCCAGTGGGGATAGGTATCGGCGAAACGATGCTCAGGAGCTTGCGGAGCTCCAGAACCAGGAGGCCGTCGACCACGTGCTGGGCTTCCCGCCCCGCTCCGCCTCTGGCATCCAGGCCACCAGCGTTCTGGTGGGGGAGGCAGACCAGTTTGGTGCATTCGCAGTCAAGATGCTGGAATAAGGACCGCCTTGGGCTCAGGAGGGGCTCTGCCTTGCGGGCCATTGCCTCAGATTCAGGTCGGGGCACCCGTTCGTAGCCGAGGCTCGCCGTGGCCAGAATAGCCCCGTCGTTCCTGAAACTTCGGAGAACAAGCAATGACATAAACATCAGAACTCTGAGGTCCGCGCGGATTCCACGGATCGGCGCTGGGGCGGGGGCCCCAGCGCCGATCCGAGGAATCTGGGCGGCTCCCCAAGTGTTCATGTGTATGTCATTGCTCGTTTCCCCTACCATACGCGCCCGTTCCCTTTTCTATTTGCGCCTCAATTCGCTCCCGGTGCACCCCACCGCTTGCTGACCAGCGTCTGACTGTCTTGGACCACTTGGCGCCCGCGGACTCCAAACGGCCCTACTCTACTCTTCGGAGTTCCTGGCTTCTGCCAGACGCACGATGCCTGCAGCGCCGACCCCAGTCAGGGCCCACCCCCCCGGGGGGCCCCGGATCCGTGTACCTGCCCTCCCGGCTTGGCCACCGGCCCTGGGCTGCAGGGGCTGCTGGCCTCGGCCATGAGCGGCGCGCGTGCGCCGCGTGGTACGGGCAGTTTCGGCACGGTCGGCATGGGCATCCAGACATGATCGCGTCGTGAACAGAAAGGGACAGAGGTCTTTCATTGTTATTGGGCCTCTGGAGGCCCCGCCGGGCCCGAGGACCGTCAACAGTCGGTTCAGAACGAAAAGCCCGTCCCGGAGAAAGGGTCGGGATTTCTGCGGACGCCGTAGTGGGAAAAATGGGCACGACGACCCAAACTGCATAAACATAGCCTGTTGGCGGTCCGCGCTGATTTCTTGAATCTGCGCTGGGACCCCCCTGGCGGCGCCTCCGGCGCCGCCCCTGGCGCGCTCCGCGCGCCACGGGGGGGGGTGCAGCGCAGATCCAAGAATTCCGCGCGGACCGATAGTTTATGCTTATGCTGTTTCTTGCTGTTCTACGTCAGCAGTTCGTGCTCATTTTGAGCAGGACTCGCTGTCGGCGTCGCCGCGGATGATGTCCGTTTGAGGAAGAAGGCCGCCAGCCCAACAGCGCTGTTGTCGCTTTTGCACAACGTGTGCTGTTCGGGCATCGCACCCATTTTTTCACACCCATGTCGGGCGTCCAAAGAGTTGGCGCCTCCCGACGAGGCGGCCGTGCCGCAGGCGGATGAGTGGGCCCTGGACGTGCTGCGGCGGACGCTGAGGTTCAGCCCGCCCGACCGGATGACCGCCCGCGAGCTGCTGGAACACCGGTGCTCACTGCTCACCATCTTCTGACCTATCCCCATCGCCATTCCCAGACATCCAACGTCACGAAAAACTCAACGCGAAGGTTTTCTCAGTTTTCGGCCCCCGGGGCTCCCAGGATCGTCAAGAAGCGACTCGGGATCAAGGGCCGGCCCTGGGGAAAAGGTTCAGATTTCTGGAGGCTCCGCGTTGCAAAACTCAATGCCATGGTATCTCAGCCCCACCAGCCCACCCTCCTATTTGTGGATAGGCCCCGCGAAACCCGAAGGAGCATGCATAGATCCCCACCCAGGTGGGTAAGTCGGCCAGTGGGGCCAAGGCCACGCCAGTGGGGATAGGGATCGGCGAAACGATGCTCAGGTGCGTCGCTGGGGTGCGGGACCGGCAGGGGGAGAGCCTCGCCGATGAGGTCCTGACCCTGCCGTTCGAGGACGAACCCGACGACATCGGCCGCCTGGCGGAGTACCTCGTGCACGAGCTCGAGCACTTCGGGGCCTTTGGCCGCTCTAGCAAAGGAAAAGGCAATGGCGTGTAGGCGTCCAGAGGCCTCCGCCTTCCCAAGCCGCACTCTCCTCGTGAGCCCCCCTGCGCGCAGGAGAACGGAGGAGGTGGAGGAGGAGGAGGAGGAGGAGTAGGAGGAAGAGGAGGCTCGAGGACCAGGAGGAGGAGGCTCGAGGACAAGGAGGAGGAAGAGGAGGAGGAGGAAGAGGAGGGGGAGAAGGAGAAGGAGGAGGAGGGGGAGGAGGAGGAGGAGGACGAGCAGGACGAGGAGGACGAGGAGGACGAGGAGGAGGAGGGGGAAGAAGAAGAAGAAGAAGAAGAAGAAGAAGAAGAACAACAACAAAAAGACAAATAAGAAGATTGCAGTGTAGTGCTAATGCCCTTGCGGGTAGGCATCACCCAATGGAAGTCCTCGTGAAGGTTAAATGACAAGCCTTCTGGTCCCTGAGCCTGTGCAGGGACTGTTGTTGGCACCTGGTGTCGGCAGATGGTAGGCGTGGTCAGCGTACCCCGAGACGGCCATCTCTATTCGACGCATTAGTTTTGGCGGGGCATGTTTCACGATCGCCCCTTTCGCCTCCTACCGTAAAATTGAAAAGTCATGATGCGTGTCTCACCACCTGATCAACGGCTGGGTTGTCATCCCCAAGAGTAGCGTCAGACGCTGGTTTCCTAACCCTGTCAGGGGGGCCTGGGGCAGTTCACCGGGGGCCACAAGGCAGGACGGTTTGCTACCCTAGTTGGGACATGCCCGCCTGTTGCACCGCAGGAGGGATCGCCATCCTGGCGGTGACTGGAGAAGGACCCTCTCCGCATCAGGGCAGCATGGACATCTGCTCTGCCGCAGGCCAGGACGCCCCTTAGGGTTGACGAGGGGGTGCGCCATCGGAGGTCGGATCGCCACCCCAGGGTCGACGCGGACAGGCAGCTCTCAGGCAGGCAGGGCCCCCCCCCCCCCGAAGGGTGGACGGGGCGGACCCCTTCCACTGCCGCCGATGTCTCCGCTGTGAGGTCACAAGAGGGACCTGTTCACAGGATAGCCGACATAGCGGGCCGCCACCTTGGCGGTCTCTGGGGGATGCCAGTCCAGAGCTGGGCACCCTTCCACATGAGTGGTGACAAGGGGCCCTGCTCCAACGCGGGCTCACTGCCACTCAAGGATGGATGGTAAGTTGGCCACCCAGTAGGACTGATTGCCGGCTTACGGGTATCTGGGTGACGGTTAAGCGGCTCCCCAGCGGGATTGATCGCTGACCTGCGGGTGACAAAGGATAGCCCCCTTTAAGGGCGGAGCGCCACCCGTGGGGCAACATGTCGGCGCGTGCCCGTCCGTGGAGCGGTGGCCGTTGTTCGACCGCT